AGCTTAAGATTTGAAATCTATTTCTATCAAGTTCAACATATTTTTTTGGTCGGCGTTTTCCCCAAATCAAATACCGATTTCCAGCCATAACTCTCCATCTCCGGCGGCAGGTTAATCTGCTTTCCTTTTAGCATGATGTTAGATGCGAATGGCCCTGAATAACAGGTTTGATGTATTTGGGGTCAGCATTTTACTTCATCAATTTTTCTGGCCCAGTTTCTTTGTTGGTAAAATATATTGCTTGGACATGGCTCTTGCACAATTACAGACATCTCCTTGAGGTTGAATGTAAACTATCCAATTGACGATTCTGAGACGTGTTATGATTGTCAGGATTAATGTTATTGAATGGGAGCTTGTAGTTTAATGGCCTGTGTTGGTTGATCCCTTGGCAACAACTTTTGTTAGATTTGAATTTCTTGTAAATTGGATACTTTTTTACCGTTTGCAATAGTCTATGAGCCAAAATCGAAACAAATGGGAACCCGAGAAGTGTACGAGGAGAAGCTGAGAACGGGAAATCTCCACCATGATCCTACCATTAAACCGGGCCTCGGATCTGCTCCCTGCCCGCGCTGCCTCTCTCTCTCTTAAGCCCTAGTTCTGTATGTATATATTTATAAGATAATGCAAATTCTCCACTTTGCCTATTATCTGTTCGATCATATGCCTTCGTGAGCATTTGGACTACCTTATTTTTCTTTCCTCGTATTGAAAATATACATCCAAGTGTTTTGGAACAGGAAAACTCGGAATGGGAAGTCACTCCTGTTCTGCACGATGCCACTGCCATGGTACGAGGATCTTTTTGCTATTTTTGTTCACTTTTCTACTACTACATTGGGCGTTAAATTAGTATATTCGTTTATGTTTTCTAGTTTTAATGAATGACTAGTTTTAGAGAACTTTTGATTTTGAACCTTTGTTGGAGTTGTTTCTCATGTGGATAAGAGAACTTTAGATTTTGAACCTTACTGTCACTAATATTATTTGAATTGCTTAAATAGGTTGGCTCTGGACTTGGTGGGATGCTAAGTGCAGTGCATGCTTTCAACATAGGTATGGAAATTGATTCTTCCCCTCGCCTTCTCCATGCACATTTCAATTATTGCCTCATTGTGTTT